GTGCTTCTTCCTGGTCTCCCATGCGGGTAAAGGGGCCCAAGCACTTGGGCCATCCTCCACTGCCTTCCTGGGCCACAGCAGAGAGCTGGACTGGAAGAGGAGCAAACAGGACTAGAACCCGGCGCCCATATGGGAAGCCGGTGCCACAGGCAGAGGATTAACAAAGTGAGCGACGGTGCCAGCCCCATGTGTACTGGGAACTATTTTATATAGAACCAGTAATAACACAATTAACAGTAGTGGCCTTTGTAAAGCAGGTTTTTAAAAAAAAAAAAAAACTTGTTAACATATTCTATTTGAATAAAGAATCTAACAATACAAAATAAGAATGAGAGTGAAAGTTTCTACAACAGGTAAGTAAAACTGTGATGAGAAACTGAATATTTACATAGTCTCAAAATACCTTCTCACAAATTCCTTATCAGCTGCATGGAGAAAATGGTAATTTTACTAGACAAAACTGGCAGATCATGCCTTAGTCAACTAATCAGTTACTTAACAATGTCCATGTAGTGTCAATAAGAAAAAGGTAAAACACAAAGGTGATAACAATGGGAAAAGGAATGAAAGACAAAGTCTCAATAAGGAGAAGAATACATGGATAACTCCATGCCCATACAGACATATATAAAAATATCTGTAAATTATATATATATATATATATATAAATTTTCCTTTTTTAATGTTAGTCTCACTGTTGACTCATCAGATGTTTTCTCAATTTCATAAACAGTCACCTGAATTAATGACTCTCAAGCTATTTGCTTCCGGGGCCAGCACTGTGGCATGGTGGGTAAAGCCACTGCCTGCAGTGCCTGCATCCCATATGGGCACCGGTTCGAGTCCCAGCTGCTACACTTTTCATCCAGCTCTCTACTATGGCCTGGGAAAGCAGTATAGGATGGCTCAAGTGCTTGGGACCCTGTACCTGTGTGGGGAACCAGGAAGACGCTCCTGGCTCCTGGCTTCGAATCATCTCAGCTCCGGCTGTTGTAGCCATTTGAGGAGTGAAACAGCAGATGGAAGACATTTCTCTCTCTCTCACTCTCTCTCTCTCTCTGCCTCTCTGTAACTTTGCCTTTCAAATAAATAAATAAATCTTTTTTTTAAAAAAATAGCTATTTGCTTCCAGAACTAAATTATTTTCTAAACTTTAGGACTATAATTTCCTAATACTACCAGACAACTTTAACTTTGATTTCTTCAAATTCCTCACATTTACTAAAGAATTTTTTTTTTTTTTTGACAGGCAGAGTGGATAGCGAGAGAGAGAGAGACAGAGAGAAAGGTCTTCCTTTTGCCGTTGGTTCACCCTCCAATGGCCGCCACGGCCAGCGTGCTGTGGCCGGTACACCGCGCTGATCCAAAGGCAGGAGCCAGGTGCTTCTCCTGGTCTCCCATGGGGTGCAGGGCCCAAGGACTTGGGCCATCCTCCACTGCACTCCCTGGCCACAGCAGAGAGCTGGCCTGGAAGAGGGGCAACCGGGAAAGAATCCAGCGCCCCGACCGGGACAAGAACCCGGTGTGCCGGCGCCACTAGGTGGAGGATTAGCCTATTGAGCCGCGGCGCCAGCCACTAGAGATTTTTTTTTTAATTTATTTTATTTATTGGAAAGATAGAGTTAAGAGAGAGGAGAGAGAGAGAGGTCTTCCATCTACTGGTTCACTCCCCAGATGGCCTCAAATGCCGGAGCTGTGCCAATCCGAAGCCAGGAGCATCCTCTGGGTCTCCCATGTGGGTACAGGAGCCCAAGGACTTGGGCCATCCTCCACTGCTATCCCAGGCCATAGCAGAGAGCTGGATCAGAAGTGGAGCAGCCGGGAATAGAACTGGTGCCCATATGGGATGCTGGCGCTTCAGGCCAGGGCATTAACCCGCTGCGCCACAGCGCCAGCCCCCTAAAGATATTTTCTTCAACATTTTCTCCAATCTAGCATTCCTCTAGAATTACTTCTCAACTAGTAACATTCATATATACTTTCACCCAGAAGAAAAACCTTAGCTACCTTCAATTACTTTTCTTTACCCCACATCCATTTCAATTCTATCCCAATTTTTAAAATAATATTAAATATTTACTATATACCATCAGTCTTAAACATGCCAAGGATTTTTAAACAATTAGTATGATACAAGTCTTCTAAATTTTCACCAAGATGTAGTTCAAATTCATTCTGTCTATTCACAGTGCCAGAGTCTTCGTATAGACCCTATTTTCTTCTACATGTTCTAACTCATCTCCTTCTCTCCAATGAATCTTTTCTCCTCAAATTCCACAATTGAATTAGTTTTTCTTTGTTTTTCCCAAATCTCAAATTTTTTCATGTTACCACCTGTTAAAACTAATGATAGCAATAATTAACGTTAATGACAAAGCAAATATATTGTGGCCGGCACTGTGGCATTGCAGTGCCAGCATCTTATATGGGCAAAGGTTCAAGTCCTGGCTGCTCCACTTCTTTTTTTTTTTTTTTTTTTTTTTTGACAGGCAGAGTGGACAGTAAGAGAGAGAGAGAGAGACGGAGAGAAAAGTCTTCCTTTTCTGTTGGTTCACCCCCCAGTGGCTGCTGCGGCCAGCACACTGTGGCCAGCGCACCGCGCTGATCCAAATCCAGGAGCCAGGTGTTTCTCCTGGTCTCCCATGCAGGTGCAGGGACAAGGATTTGGGCCATCCTCCACTACACTCCCAGGCCATAGCAGAGAGCTGGCCTGGAAGAGGGGCAACCGGGACAGAATCCGGCACCCTGACCCAGACTAGAACCCAGGGTGCTGGCGCCGCAGGCGGACAATTCGCCTATTGAGCCGTGGCGCTGGCCTAAGGCTGCTCCACTTCTGATCTAGCTCTCTGCTATGTTCTGGGAAAGCAGTAGAAGATGGCCCAAGTCTTTGGGCTCCTGCACTTGGGTGAGAGACCCAGAGGAAGCTCCTGGCTCCTGGCTTTGGATCAGCACAGCTCCAGCCGTTGTGGCCAAGTGGGGAATGAACCAGTGAATGCAGGACCTCTCTCTCTCTCTCTCTCTCTCTCTCTCTCTTCCTCTCCTTCTCTCTCTGTGTAACTCTGCCTTTCAAATAAATAAATAAATCTTTAACAAAAAATATGACAAATATAAAGGATTTAGTCAATGACTAGGAACAGTAGTCTTCCAAGATAATTAACAGCAAGTATCATTTTAACACATGGTAAATTTTAGACCACATTTATTTTCAACAATTTACTTCCTAAAGATTCATCTATTTTATATAAAAAGTCCTAACATTGCTTATAGAGAAAGAAATTAGCAATAAATGTACTCATGTGTCTATTTATATGAATTAAACCCAAAACCTATGATCTAAATAATTATAATAATTCATTTTATTTAATAGTTATAGAAAGTGGATAATCTGAGCAAACTCTTAAATATACCTACAAAGAAAACCTCTTCATTGTGCATTTCCTTTTGTAAAAAAGTGCACAGCCTCTCCCAGAGTAACCTGAACACTGAGGAGGAGGAAGCACAGCAAGTGCACAGCAAACAGGAAAGTCGCACTTGTCATTCCCTGCACAGCTACAGTTCTTCACATAGCTTACTACAAATTGTCAAAAGAGCTAGAAGCCTACTGTGTCATAATTGCCCCCCAGTAATACCCTTTTTTTGTTCCACAGTACTTTAAGTGAAGCAGCATAGCAGCGAGAACAGTAACTGAGTTATGTTGGTTCTTGAAAAGGCCCAACACCATTAGAGGTCCATGGTGTAGTCCCTTTTTTTTTTTTTGGACAGGCAGAGTTAGACACTGAGAGAGAGAGAGAGAGAGAGACAGAGACAGAGAGACAGAGAGACAGAGAGAAAGGTCTTCCTTTTTCCGTTGGTTCACCCCCCAAGTGGCTGCTACGGCCAGCGCACTGCGCTGATCCGAAGCCAGGAGCCAGGTGCTTCTCCTGGTCTCCCATGGGGTGCAGGGCCCAAGCACTTGGGCCATCCTCCACTGCACTCCCTGGCCACAGCAGAGAACTGGACTGGAAGAGGAGCAACCCGGACAGAACCAGCGCCCCAATCGGGACTAGAACCCGGAGTGCCGGTGCCGCAGGCAGAGGATTAGCCAAGTGAGCTGCAGCGCCGGCCAGTGGTGTAGTTTTTGATAGTCTTTGCAGAATGAAAACTTATTTAAAGTCCAATCTAATTATATAGTTATTTAATATTGATATAAAAATAAGAATATCAGCATTGTAGTAAAGAATAAAAACAGTTTCTGAAAATACTACTTGGGCATCAAAATGCACTCTTTTACATGGGTAAAACTATAGTGGAATATCTACATTAACCTGAACAGGATAGAAGCAGAGGAATTATACGCATATATTTTGATCTGCAACTATTACTATGTGCAACTTTAAACTGTGTATTTACCATTAGACTAGAATGTATTCAAATGCCTGTACTCTTGAACCCATTTTCAGAGTAACATAAGATTTATTAGCAATCTTCATATAAATATTTGGAAAAATTGTTTCATACATATTGGTATTAAGGATTACATTTTAAGAGCTTGTAACCTAGATAAACAATAAGTAATTTTAAGCTATGCTATATATCATAGAAAGATATAGAAAGAAACCTAATAAACAGGCATCAGTGTGACGGTCTCCTGCCGTAATACACGCACGCATACAAATAACCTTGCAAAGTCTTCACCAATGACTGAGCTTTGCTTATACATAAAAAATATCTGATTTGAACAGAAAAACTTAAGACTAAAAAGAAACCTAAGGTTTTATTGATTCCTTTACTATTAATAGTTTCAAAGACTGTTATTTGAAAAGTAAATAAAAACATTATTTTAAAAGATAATTAAAAACAAAGGCAGCAGAAATGAAAAATTTTGGACTATTACGTTCCTACTTAAACCATACCCTCCATATTCCCCACCCCAACACATACACACATACTCATTTTGAGCAGACATACACATTGTAAGCCTATTTTCTCATCAGAAATTTAAAATTACAGGATCTACTTACCAACCCAACACAGTTGCTTAAAGCCACTTTAGTTGTGCTACGTTGATCTTGCAAGTATCCTGTGTAATGACAGTTGTCTAAAAAATCATGTTTCCACTGGGGTCCATCTTTTCCCCAATATTCTACTGTAAAATGTTTGGACACAAAATCTGTATTGAGAGTCAAGTTTAGGTGAAAGTGCTTCCCATAGGCTGAAAGTTTAAAAAATAACTTAGATACTGCCTTCTGTGGATCAATAGGGTCCATACTCCGTCTTCTCCTTGAGTGTTTATCATTTTTCACAGTAAAGCTGAGAAAAGCTCCATTTTGATCAACTCTTATTGGAATAGTTAGCTGGTACTGTTCAAGATAAGTCAGGAATTCCTCTTTTTAATCACAAGGCAGAGAATACAGAAAAAACACATGGAAGAAAAGAAAATTTAGCAGAACAAAGCAGCAATATAAACAACAACTCTCAGTTAAATCTATGTATCATTTTATGCAAGATATAGACCAAAAAAATTGAAAATAGATAAAAATGAAAGAGCAAAAGTTTAAAATATGAATATTAATTTTAATTATTTCATTCCCTAAAATACTATTTTGTTATTTGTAGACTATTTTTCTTCATTAAATTTAATTTTAAAAACATAGAATCTACAGCTAAATTCTATCACAAGTATGATCATTTTATATTGAAACAAAAAACAATGAAAAGTATAAATATATAAAAGAATTTAGCTCAGATAAAATCTATTTTTGAAAGTTATCCAAAAGAGTTTATGTAGAATTTCTATAGTCTTATAGAAACTATTTTTTTTTAAATCATCAGTGGGAATGTAAACATTGTATCCACTTTGGATAACTGTCTGACAGTTCCTCAAAATGTTAAACATGATATTATCATTTGATTCAGTAATCCCTCCTATAGGTAGATGTATGAGAGAAATAAAAACACACACCCATGCAAAAATCTGCACATGAATGTACATACCAGTACTATTCATAATAGTGAAAAAGAGAAATAACTAAAATTTCTAATAACTGATAAAACAGAATATGGCATACACTTACAATATATTATTATCCTGCAGTAAAAAGGAAAGCAGTATTGATACATGTTACGATGTGAATGATCCTTTATAACTGTCATTGCAAAGTACATTATCTAATATTATAAAAATATCATATTAAGTAAAAGGAGCCAGTCATAAAAGATATATTCTATCATAGAATAAACATATTCTATTATTCCATTTATATGAAATATTTAGAATGGGCAAATCTCTAGTTACAGAAATCTAAAGGTTAAGAAGTTGCCTTGATTGTGGGTGGGGTAGTTTAGAGAGAATTTAAAAGCTATGCAATGGGTACAGAGTTTCCTTTTGTAGTGATGAAAATATTCTAAAATTGACACGGCAATATGACAACTCTGAAAATACCAAAAACTATCGAATTTGTATACTTCAAATAGGTGAATTATAGGCCGGCACTGTGGCTCACTAGGCTAATCCTCCAACTGCGGCACCGGCACTCCGGATTCTAGTCCTGGTTGGGGCACCGGGTACTAGTCCCAGTTGCTCCTCTTCCAATCCAGCTCTCTGTGTGGCCCAGGAAGGCAGTGGAGGGTGGCCCAAGTGCTTGGGTCCCAGCACCCGCATGGGAGACCGGGAGGAAGCACCCGGCTCCTGGCTTCGGATTGGCACAGTGCCGGCCATGGCGGCCATTAGGGGAATGAACCAACAGAAGGAAGATCTTTCTCTCTGTCTCTTTCTCACTGTCTATAACCTCTCTGTCTCTCTCTCTCTCTCAGTGTCTAACTCTGCCTGTCAAAAAATTTTTAAAAAAAAAGGTGAATTGTACATTATGTATATTTTATCTAAATAAAGCTGTTAAAAATCATCAGACTGATATAGAAAAGTGAAAAATAAAAACTATGATAACTTATCTCCTGGAAATAATTATTCAGAATAAAAATCTCAAACTACCTCAAAAAAAATCATCAGACTGGATAAAAATTCAGAAAACTATTGAACATATTTTCCTCACTTAGATGCACTAAATATTACCCTTCTACCATTTTATGCAAACCTTCCTTCAACTATATTTACCACTGAGGGAAACCAAATGTTTTCCTCTTGCCTCACTGTCCACACATGGAGTTTACTCACACATATAAACCTCCATGAAACCATAACCAAATGGAAATAAAACACAATTTATTTTACTTCTTATAAATTTATTTTTTAAAAGAGTTCATACTAAACACCATAGCTTTGATAATCTACTTTGAGACCCACACTTTTTAATATGGACTTTCAGTCATATACATCAATCTTAAATAATCTTCGAAATCTGGCTCAGCAACACCAAAAACCAATCTATTACTATGCTTTCAAGGGAAGGGGATACAAAGGCATGCCTTCAGTAATTCTATAAGGATTGGATTGGTTCATGGAAAACAAAACAGTATTTACTCTTAGGACTTTTATTTTAAAGACCATTTCTATAATATAAAGTTCAAATCTATAGATTAAAATTATAAGATTTAGAATTTGAAAAGTTAAACATTTTACAACACTCACTCTTTTACTCAGATTCTAATCCTTAGATCATAATTTTTAATTTTGAAGAACTTTTTTCTCTTGAAAGGTCCCTATAGGGGCCGGCGCCACGGCTCAATAGGCTAATCTTCCACCTAGCAGCGCCGGCACACCGGGTTCTAGTCCCGGTCCGGGCACAGGATTCTTTCCCAGTTGCCCCTCTTCCAGGCCAGCTCTCTGCTGTGGCCCGGGAGGGCAGTGGAGGATGGCCCAAGTGCTTGGGCCCCGCACCCCATGGGAGACCAGGAGAAGCACCTGGCTCCTGCCTTCGGATCAGCGCGGTGTGCCGGCCACAGCACACTGGCCGTGGCGGCCATTGGAGGGTGAACCAATGGCAAAAGGAAGACCTTTCTCTCTGTCTCTCTCTCTCACTATCCACTCTGTCTGTCAAAAAAAAAAAAAAAAAAAAAAAAAGTCCCTATAAAAAGTGTCCTATATAAGGATTTATCTGTTTCTTCCTCTTTTACAATATCTCCTTGATTCTCTTTTAACATGACCTTGCCCAAAAACCCTAGCAAGGAATAAATCTACTTAAATGTAGGTTTCAGAAGAAGAAACTGTCTGGGTCTATCATTTTCCAAGAAAGACCAGTCAACTCTAAAACTCCCTGGACATTAACAGACCCAGTAGGACAAGTTTAAAAGATGCTTATAGTCCCTTTACATTGATGAAACTAGCACTGAACTAATACTGTAGGCCTCTGTTCCAGCCACTACATATTCCAAAGAAAGTGCTCACCCAAACTAAGTACTAAGAATTTTTTTTAGCTGATAATTAACAACATTCTTGTCAGTTTCAAAATCAGGAATCCTACCTTGAGAACTGTATGAAAGTCTGTGGTCATGAAATTCCGATGAAGCCATGATGAGGCTCAGAATCCATGTTAACGTCTTCCACAAAATTTCCATAATTTAGAAAACTGGATGATATTTTGGAGGGCTACCTATGTGCTAGAGAGTCAATACCATACCAAAATCGAAGCATAACAGTTTTATTTCTCTGAAACTTCTTGAAAATTGTTATTAAATATTCCACTGTTTAACAAGTAATTTTTTCCAACATCCCGTACTTTCTTCTATATCTGGATTCATTTTCTCAATCCAAAATGAAAAAAAATAGTGATGGTAAAAATTTCAAAAGCAAAGCATTAGGCTGATTAGTTACTAGAGTATGGCCATTTTTTTACCTAGAGGGAAAAAATTTAAGTTAATTAAAAAAATACTCTCAAAGGACAAACCTACTACATATCACTGAATGTTTGCCAAAGAATATAAATATAAAATAATACAACATTTAAAAAACATTGTAACATTGTTCTTTTTAGTCTAAATAAACTTTCACAAGACTAAACACAGAATTAGAAACCTAAATAGCAGAATAATGCCACAGTGACTTAATAATCAAAGAAATCTGAAGAATCACAATTCTTTTTAATAAACCTTTAAGATAAGTCAGCTAACCTCCTTTTGATAAAATAAAAAGCAGACTTACTTCATAATCTAAGTTAACTGTATGTGACAGTAAAAGATCCAATTCTTTTTTAAAAAAATTATTTATTTGTAAGGTAGAGTTAGAGAGAGAAAGACAGAGATCTTCAATCTGCTGGTTCATTCCCCAAATGGCTGCAATGGCCAGGACAGAGCCAGGCTGAAACCAGGAGCCAGGAGCTTCTTCCAGGTCTCCCACACGGGTGCAGGGCCTAAGGACTTGGGTCATCTGCTGCTTTTCCAGATGCATTCGCAGGGAGCTGAATTGGCAGTGGAGCAGCTGGAACTCAAGACAGTGCCCATACGGACGCTGGCACCCCAGGCGGCGGCTTTACCTGCTATGCCACAGCGCCAACCACTGCTTATTCTTTTTTTAAAACAGAAACTACATGCATAAAGACAGAAAGAGAGAGAAAGCGAGAGAGCAAGAACAAGAGAGAGAGAGAGAGAGAGAAGTCTTCCATCTGCTGGTTCACTCCTCAAATGGCTGCAACAGCCAATTCTGGGTCAGGCCAAAGTCAGGAACAGAGTTCCATCCTGAGTTCCTGTGTGCGTGGCAGTGGCCCAAGCAAGGTCTGACGCCCTGGTATAAGTTGTCACTGGAAACACCAGTACCCTGTATCTAAGTGCTAGTTCAAGTCCTGGCTACTCTGCTTCTGATCCAGCTTCCTGCTAATGCACCTGGGGAAGCTGCAGAAGATAACATTCTTGAAGACACCCTGTGAATCCACTCATACCCCAAAATTGCTATGTTGCTTTATGAGGCACCTATCATTGCACCTATCATTTTTTTCTGACAAAGTAGATTTACAAATTTGGAGTGACACTTAGCAACCATCTGAACACTCAGTATCACAAATTCAACTTCTAAAAAGTTAAGCCATATTTACTGTAACTCTTGACTTTATCTGGAAGTCTTATATGACTTATAAAGCAATTTAAATGAGGTAATTTTAACTCTCTAGAATGTAACTAAAAAGAAACTTTTAAAATCTTATTTTAGGTACCACAAGAGATTTCACATCCTATCTCATATTCTTTACTTTCAGCAGACAACCTCACTCACAGAGGCCATCTACTCACATTTTACACATAACACCAGCACACTTGGTCACCTGACTTCTCAGGAACTACGATCTAGCTTACTAACAGCAAAAAACTGACCAAAGAAGAATCAAAAAACTAAAGAATTGCTTTAGAACCCTAAAGCAACAGTTGGGGATAGAGGCAAGTGGTTCTTATACAGTTTAATAGTTCCTACTGTGCATATAACTGCATTATAGCTCAATAGCTGAAACTCACAATATTATGCCTAAGACAGGGATAAAAAGTTAATGACTTTTAATGACTAAATACTATTAATAAGATATTAGAAAGATTCTATGCCAAGTCTCTAATACATGCAATTATCATCCAATAAGTACTTACTACATATTTGTTGATTGAAAAATTGATTAAAAAAATGAACAGCAGCTAAAATAAAATTACCTTAGGCAAATAAAAGAATATTTGTAGTTAACTGGAAAATTAATTTATGTGAAATACTTTATCCCCTATGGTGCTAGAAATAGTGGTTATTACAACATTTAAAACAACCACAACTATTTAAAATTCCTCACATCTGCCTCCACAAGTTATTAAACTGTTAAGGCTTGGCAAAACTAATTCATTAATCAACAAATATTGTCTTACCATGTTTAAAAGGTGATGTTACAACAACTCAGAATACAGACAGGATTAAGGGATACAGAAAAGATTAAGATAAAATCCTTGCTCTTAAGAAGCTCAAAATTTAAATAATGAAGAAAAAAATCAAGACAGACTGATAATACCACAATAAAGTTATGAAAAATTGTTTCAAGAGATTAGATAAGGGTCATGATCTCTAAGTCAGAGAAGCATGAATCAAATAAGATTTGTAGGAAAAGAGCATTTTGTGATAAGGCCTGGAAGATTAATAGAATTTCACAAGTCAGATTACTTTAGGACATCATTACATACACAGTATGCATTCTAAAAAATCTAGATGGCAAGCAAAAGAGAAAAATAGTAAACAGTATTAGAATAGCAATAATAATAAATTAGGTTCCTATGCAGAAGACTAAGGTAAGAAGAAGGTAAGGTAGTTTAAGGTCAGACCAAAAATAAAGAACTTTAAATTAATATTACTTCTTCTAATCTTCAAGACAATCTTGTGAGGCAGTTATTATTGCCCCATCAACAGGGCACTCTGATGGTCCCAATGATTCCATCTCCTAATATCAATGCCCCTATATAATCCCCTCCCACTGAATCATTTAATTCTAACCAAGACAATACATCTCAATACTGAAGGGATGTCACTTCCTTGACTAGATTACAAAATACTCTGACTTCCATTTTGCTAGCAGGCTCTCTCATTGGTTTGGAAGACACAGGCTGCCATATGAAGATGCCTACATGGCAAAGAACAGAGAATAGCTTCCAAATATCATCAACAGGAAATGAGGTCCTCAGCCCAACAGTATTCAAGAAACTGAAACCTGCCCACTGATATGTGAGCTTAGAAGCACATTCTTCCCCAGAGTGGGTTTCCATGAAGACCCCAGTCCTAACCATCACTTTGTAAGCTTATGAGAGATCCTTTGTAAGCTTATGAGAGAAGCAGGAGGACTTAGCCGTGTCATGGCTGAATTCTTAATACACAGAAACTGTGAGATAATAAATGTATGTTATGTTAAACTGCTGAGTTTGGGGGCCAGCGCTGTGGCATAGTACGCTAAGCCTCTGCCTGCAGTGCCAGCATCCTATATGGGTGCAGTTTTGTGTTCTGGCTGCCCCTCTTCTGATGCAGCTCTCTGCTAATGGCCTGGGAAAGCAGTGAAAGATGGCCCAAGTGCTTGGGCACCTGCACCTGCATGGGAGACCCAGAAGAAGCTCCTGGCTCCTGGCTTCGGATAGGCCCAGCTCTGGCCGTTGTGGCCATTGGGCAATGAGCCAACAGATAAAAGACCTTTCTGTCTCTCCAGCTCTCTGTCTGTAATTCTACCTCTCAAATAAATACATTTTCTAAAAAAAAAAAAAAAATTTTGCTGAGTTTGTGGTAAGTTGTTATGGAGCAACTGATAACTAATATTGCCATCAATTTCAGATACCGCTGACGCTTAAAGAGGTCAGATAGCTAGAAAACAGAGGAGCCCAGATTCAGGTACAAGGCTTCTGGCTCTAAAGCCTAAATTCTCTGTATTTGGGCAGATGCTGTGATACAGTGGCTTAGGCTGCCTCTTTGAACATCACATCCCATATCAGAGTGCTAGTTTGAGTCCCAGTTACTGTTTCTGATCCAGCTCCCTGTTAATGCACCTGAGCAGTTAATGGCTCAAGTACTTATGTCCCTGCTCCCACATCGGGGATCCTGGCTCCTAGCTTCAGCCTGGCCCTGCCCCGTCTATTATAGCCTCTTAAAGAATAAATCAGAAGATGGAAGATACCAAATCTCCGTCAGTTTACATAATTTATTACTTCAGAATAAATTCTATTATATCATACTTCCAGTAAACTGAAACTTAAATATTCAAAATCAGTTACATATAATCAACATCGGTATATTCATAAATGGCATTGGTTAGTTAATGTAAACAGATTTTAGCAACTTTACATATAACAATTATTTCACCTCAAAATTATTTTTACAATGATTTAGGCAAGACAGCAGACACTATATATTCTTTCTCAAGGAAAAATCTATAAAGACTAAATGATACCTCTGTTCAATAATATTACTTATCTTTTTAAAAATATTTTATTTATTTATTGGAGAGGTAGAGTTATAGACAGAGAAGGAGAGACAGAGAAAGATTCTCTATCCACAGTTCACTCCCCAAATGGCCACAATGGCCAGAGCTGGGTAGATCTGAAGCCAGGAGTCAGGAGCCTCCTCCAGGTCTCCCATGTGGGTGCAGGGGCCCAAGCACTTGTGTGCCCTCCCACGCCACAAGCAGAGAGCTGAATTGGAAAAGGAGCAGCTAGGACCCAAACGGTGCCCATATAGGATGCTGACACCACAGGCAGAGGCCTGACACACTATACCACACAATCAGCCCAATATTCATTTTCTTTATATCTAGCCTACTTATATATAATTTTAATATTCTAAAACTTCCCATGAAACATTAAAGTATCATTGTTGCTACATGAACAATATTCATTCTCATTATTTTATTTTCAAATCACTAAAATGTTTTGAGTAAAAATGTCTGACATTCAGTGAGAACCCCACATACTTTACTTTGTAATCTTCCTTTAAACAGTAATACAATTAGGGCCAGCGCTGTAGCATAATGGGTAAGCGCCTGCATCCCACATGGGTGGCGGTTCAATAACCAGCTGCTTTACTTCCCATCCAGCTCTCTGCTATGGCCAGGGGAAGCAGTGAAGGAAGGCCCAAGTCCTTGGGCCCCTGCACCCATGTGGGAGACCCAGAAGAAGCTCCCGGCTCCTGGCTTCAGATTGGTGCATCTCTGACCATTGCAGCCATTTGGGGAGTGAACCAGCAGTTGGAAGACTTTCTCTCTCTCTCTCTCTCTGCCTCTGTGACTCTGCCTTTCAAATAAATAAATAAATCCTTTAAAAAAAAAAAGAGTAATATAACTAGCACATTTGAGTTAACTTTATACTGAATCATTCCTTCTTTTCTTCCTGTTTTCCTAGACTTTGAAACTAATGGCAAACTGAAAATACATTTGGTTGGATTTAGGGGAAAACAATTTTTCCTCCTTGACAAATATCCTGCTTTTCAGAGTTTTGTAACCTTCACTCCTACTCTTACTAATATCATTCTATAAACACCCAAGCTGACTAAGGCAGTAACATTGAGGGGAAAAAAAAGTAGTTAAGTTACTATTTGGCCAGAAGTAGACTAATGATTTAAGGATTTGCAGTGCGCGCACACACACACACACACACACAAAGCAAGAGAGGTTTATTTGGTGCATGGTAGACAGAACAGGAGCTCTGAATTGAAACAAATCAGAGTTACAATTACAATCTTGGATTTACCACTTGATACATACAGTATCTGGCACATGGGCACTCAATAAATTTGATGTTTTTACTCATTTTTCACTCTCTCACTGCACAAGCCCTAGTGCTCAGTGAAGGAACATTAAGTAAATGATTGGCTAGAACTCAACTAAAAACAACACAACTAACAAAACTTAACACTCTTAATCACCAACAAGATAAAAGCGAATGAGTTAACCTACTTTCTGACACCTGCTGAGGAGGTTAATCTGGATCCCATAAACAAATCTGTAACAGCTCAGATTTTTCCAGATACAGTTTCTAAAGTTCAGACTAACATTAAAATACCAGACAATTGTCCAGAAATCATTATGCATAAAGCACAATGCATTTAAGTTATATAGCAGAACCATTATGTTATGGAAAATACAAAAGCCTAAAGGTCTGGCTTGACCCCAAGTTATCACACCTCTCTGGATCTGTTTACTCATCTACAAAATCATGATAATGATACTTACTTTCAAAAACTTGTTGAGAGATTACATTGGATTACACATGACACATGATTTAAAATTCTGCACACTTCACTTTAAGGACTGTTAGCCCTCCTTCCCTCATTATCTAAATCATATTTCAAAGGTTTTCCTTCAAAAAGTTTCATATTCCTCCTTCCCTCAGAAATATGGAATAGTTGGATATAATGATTAACTGGGATATGAGTCGATCAACTAGGTTATACTGCCTAAAAGCAAACAGTATCAGGGTCTTCAAAAAGTTCACAAAAATTCATATTATGAAAAACTGCATGGATTTTTTGGGTACCAAATTAAACTTATCTTTTAATTCCATTTTTCCATGAACTTTCTGAAGTATCCTGTTAAAGATGATAATTGCATTTATAAGTATTTAAAATTTGAAAACAGAATAAAAATTCCACTTTACTTTAATTTCAAATGTCTTTTTTTTTTAATATAAATGCACCAGCCAGTAAAGTTAGGGGATCATTTACATATTTCCATGAATCAAAACAACACTAGTTAAATAGAAGTAAAACCAGACAACTTGCACTACTATGATTCCCCCAGTAATCTGCCCTGGTCAAAGGGTTATTACTTGTCTTTTTCCTCTATCATCTTTACTTCCCACTCAAGTGATCTGAGTGTAGCCAAGGTAATAATTTCCTCTCATGAACTATTATTATGGAGCTAAAGAACATGTATAAATCCCTCTCCACTTCTTTCATCCATCTTAACTCTTATTATTTATTTTAAGGCTGATTTGGTCTCCATCCAAGAAGCAAAAATTCCATGCTCCCTTTGAATATTTAACTTTTACACATGAAAATTAACTTTTCATTTCATTTCCCATTTACTCTCTCAGTAAATATTTCTCATCAGCAACTAATTGCCAAGAACATGACTAGGTTTCTAAGTACAAAGGTCATTTATAAACTTTCTGAGATTAGTCTCCAAGGCAATATATAATTAAACACAAATTACTCAAAATTTACCTATCAATAAAAGCAAAGGAGTCAAAAGTTAAAATATAAAACACAACTTACAAAAGTCAAGGCCTAAATTAATATAAACCCAAAATTTTTATAGATAACAAGGTAAATATATGTTATCTGTATCAGAACTTCTTTCCTGGAAAAGAAAAATCAACATCTTTTTCTCTTGGGGCTATTCAATATGTTGATAACCATGTCTTTTGGGGGAACTAAGAGAGTATCTACTTCCCCTCCTCTTTTTCTCCCCTAAAAATATTCCAAATATGCTTTTAACTCTGTTAATTCATTAATTTTATTCATTCTCACTAAAGTCACAAACAGAGTAAGATTTGGCAGACAGGTCCATACTAAACCACGAGTAGCTGCTAGTGGTTGCTAAGGAAATGAAGAGGAAGTAGTAACAGTAGACAACAGTAGAATTAGTCTTACAGGTATTGGACCAAACATGAAAATACTATAATATTTTAGGTCTTAACGCTGTAGGTTTTCCTCTTGGGGTTCACAAAAATAGAAATAACATAATACTGATATTTGTTGCCAACTGTGGCAAATGAATGGATTTTATTTGTTTGAAATTACTTATTTGCCTCTATGTGCTGTTCTTCAAAAATCCAAAATATCAATGATCACATTTAAGCACTAAATTGAGATAAATCAAATTGCAGCTGCCACTTTGTGAAACACAGGAAAACAATGATCTCTAAAATTAACTTTCTTAATTTCCCTCAGCTATACCAGTTTTATGTTACCTTTCTTTCCCTGACATGAATTCTAAGAACTGTCATTCCCACATATAAAAAGTTTCAGTCTAATCAATGTAAGCTAAAAAAAGAAGAAAAAAGAAAATTAGCCCAAAAAATCCAATCATAAAAGAATATGCTGCAAATCACATACTCCAGTGTCTTTTTAAAAAGTTCCAAGCCATGCTTCAATTTTTTCTTCCCACTCCACTGCACACCCTGGCCTTCGGCCCCCCTCCTCCTATTCCACTTCACCCAGACAGAGGGTAACAGTCTGAGCTGCCCTGTTTGAGTTGTGATCCTAACGTTAACATCCAGCAGCCCATTTCCAGACAGCAGCGCTAAATCTATTTGGATAAAACGCGTGTGACCCAGACAGTTGGCATTTGGCCCAAACGCGTTGCACCGGCAGCTCAAATAAAAACAAGAGTAAGAAAACTCACTCTTGTTCTCTCTCAGTGCGCTTTCTCATTCTCTTGCTCTTTGCCTCTAATACAAGGACAGAAATTATCAGACGGGAATTGAAGCACACACTATCAGGAAAAGGTTTTCCAATACTCCATCCAGCATTCTAGCTTCCCCCTCCCATATCCCTGAACTTTGGTCCCATACACCATATATACAGACATACCGCGATAAACAAGGCTCCGGAGGGCTATGAGTCTAGCACGTCCCAAGTGGCCAAAAGTAAATCAAAAACACACGCTTCCATCTCTTTGATTAGCCTATTAAGAGCTTAACAGATCCTAGAGCATCAGGGCTGCAGCTCGCACATTAATGCTACTCCCTGAGCCCACACATAAAATATGCACTTGTCTGAATACTTAAGACTGACATGAAACTATAAAATGCAGAAGATTTTTCTTGAGGAAAACTGAAAATCGATTTAAAACACACACATCATCATTACTTTCCTGATGACTATTTGGTGATCAGTTAAGAGACCACAATAATCATAATAAGTCCACTGCACAAAACATGTATATTCATAAAATAATCATATTTTTGCATCATAAAATACTTGCAAGTCCCAGAATTCTACAACCCCCGACTAGTCTGGAGTTAAAAAGATTTCTATCTGTAAAATGAGTTCAGTCAAGCTCACTCATTGCCATAAAACACACATACACACACACACACACACACACACATACACAGAGAGAGGGAGGGAGAGAGAGAGAGGGAGAGAGAGGTTTTCTAAGCGTTATTCCGAAGACAAGCAAAGCACAAGTTTTTTAAAAAAGGTTTCATTGAATATTGTGAAGTCTTCCTTACCGTTTTCATCTTCAAATTCTGATTAAAAAGTAAGTTTCAAACAATAGAGATTGCACTGGACGACTCACGTACTCCCTCTCCTTTTTTTTTTTTTTTTGCCCCCCCCCCCCCTTGCAAAGCCACACCAGTTATTCTGCAGTTATTCTGCAGCCAGAATAAAACCCTATAGTCTGGCTAACCCAGGCTTTAGAAAAGAGACTTTACAATTTGGCAGAAAAAGAGATACCTTCAATACAAGCAGGCTATCACCCTGAGATGCTGCCTTTGCAAACCTTCTTTCTCCAACCCCCCCTCCACCACTTTCAAAAAAAAAAAAAAAAGGAAAGAAAGAAAGAAAGGGAAAAAGACTTATTGGGGGTGGAAGTGGTGCCCTCTCTTCCTGGACAGCTTAGTGCCTTTGCTATGCAAATAACATGTGCAGAGCATCAAAAGGTATCAGGAGAAAAGAAGACAAGAGGAGCAGGAAGGGCAGCAAAGTTTTGTTGAAGTAGCCCTAGATCTCACTACCGGCCCCCAGCCAACTTGAATTGCAGCAGGAGAAAATTTTGGCAGCTTTTCCTCGGAGGCAGAGCACACTGACGTCAGTCTGCAGATGTGCCTTGGCTGCGTCGGGTGCGCATGTGTCCTGGGTCGTCACGTGGAGGGGGAGGGGAAGTAGAGGTACAATCAGGGTAACCAACTACCAGCCATTCAGAAGGGCTTAGACAATGTCAACTTTTCCACCCTGTGAATGAGAGAAATTCTGGCCTCTCTAACCTCTCTCCCCTAACCTACTCCGCCTCTTTTCCTCCTCCTTCTCTAACCTCTTTCAGAAACTCTAGCCTGGTTTGTTATTAGTAGTTTCTTGGAAAAAGGAAGGGAGGAGGTAGATGAGTGACTTTAGATGGACTAATGTCACTGTTAAGATCTCCTGTGTCATTCTCCGTGCATTTTTTTTAAGTGTACACAATAAAAATGTTAAAAGTTGCACATAAACAGTACCGCTGAGGAAACTTACAGCAAACTTTATAGATCAATGGAGTATGCAGATTTCAAGACGCGGTAGCTACGTGTGTACAAAATGCCTGTGTGTTTTATATACATTTCAACAACTAAAGTTACCACCAAAAGGAAAAGTAAACTAAGACCAGCACAGTTTCCATCTGATTATTGACTTCAGGTTATGTGGGGCTTTAAAAAAAAAAGAAAAAAGAAAGAAAGAAAAGTGGGGAGGAGGGAGCGGAGGAAGAGACAAGCTTGCATTATTTCCAGATGAGGGTGAGACTGGATGGTGTTTTAAAGTGCAACCACGAAAAGCTGCAAGTGGAGTGCATTTTTTATTAAGTAAGTACATTGAATGAAACTTCAGTGACTGCCCAAATGAAAATAAATCCGCAGTCAGCCCACCTCCCCACCAAAAAGGAAAAAAAAAACAGGAACCCCGCTGCGATCTTAACATAAACAAACAAAACCTCAGAACCGGTTCTTCAAGCTTCCCAGTCCTACCTCCCCCCCCCCCCCCATCCCCATAGGTTCACACACCAGCTGCCAGTCCAGTCTTTAAGGATAAAATACCACTACAATGTAGCACTTTCACTTTCATTTGCTGGGAGAAAGCCACTGGCGTTAAACTGTGGAGAATATGCCCAATATGTTTTCCATGTCCTGAGCAAGCAAACAAAGTCTGGCACACAAATCGGAAACAGGAAAAAATGTGAAAATAGCTCAGGACAAATGCTGTCTTTCAGTGGTGTAATCTGCTGCATCATTTATCTGTCTCTACCGCTGAGTGTAGGGTTTAAAAGTTTCTGAGACTGGGGGAGGGGAAAATTGACGCCTTGAAAGTCCAGTCCTAGGTTAACGCCAAGTCAATTTCCGATGGCCACAACCAAAAAGCGGAATTGGACTTGAAGGAAGGGGGTAGGAAGGAGGACCTTTCTGAATACCAATTCTTAAATTTCAAGTTTCTGCTAACATTATTGCCCATTTGATCTTTTTTTCTTCCTAAACCGGAGGTAGTAGGTGTAATTCTTCTGGTGAATCCATGAATAGTTGGCTAAAAGAAAGCATGAATCAGACTCAGAATGTCCAAGAATAAAGTTCTTTCAGTGCTTCATTGAGGTTTGAAAGAGGAAAGCATCTGTCCACAGAATCGATAGCCCTCATTTTAATCAGAGGGTTTTTGGCTAAATGCCATTAAAATATGGAAACAGGTCTTGTGGTTGGTATTGAACTGATAGAATTAAATAAAGATAATTCGTGTGTGTGTGTGTAAAATACATGAAGTGGCTAAATCTCAGAGCAATAATACCAAAAAAAAAAAAAAGTGGACACAAAGCAAGTTTTGTGTCATACCACTTTTTAAATAGTCATGAACTTTAAAACCTTCCTTAATTTTTCAAATAGGTACATGGGGACAGACAGCACAGAAAAATAAGGTTGAGCAGTAATCACCTGTATACTCTATCTGAAAAGTTTTTGCCCTCAGCTAAAACAAACTGCCCTAGGAAGGAGCAGAACTGTAGAGGAACTTACTCACTTTGGCTAATTACTTATTCAAAGAGTGCCATCCTGCGTCTAAACAGAGTAATGAAAAATTTCCAACAAATTCCTTGTCTCTTCCTAACAATTAAGAACATTATGAGTAAGAGTAAAAAATTATGAGAATGAGAAATGAAATGTTGATTTAACTTCATACTTATACATATGTAAATGTTTTAATATTACAGAAAATTTAAAACATAGACAAAAGGAAAAAAATGGTATAATGAACTCCAATGTAGCTATCATTTAGTTTTACCAAGTGCCAAAGATTGGTGGATTTTGTTGCATCTATATTTCTATGATTTGTTCTACTTCATGAGATTATTTTAAAGCCCATCTCAGACATCATTTTATTGCATTCATTATTTCTCTGCATTTCTAAAATATAAGGACACTCTCTTTGTCTCCGTCTCCTGAACACTCTGTCTCTCTCTCTCTCTCTCTTTTGCTCTCCTTCTCCCTCTTTCCTTTTTTGCCCCTTCCCTCCAGTCTGTCAGGTTTCCCCCAATAAACTCTTTCCCTTAAAAAAATAAAATAAAAGGACAAAAAAAACTACCATACCACTATTACTATTAAAACATTAATAACTCCTTTATGCCATCAAATGTCAGATTCCTCAAAGAAAATAAAGATTATGCATTCTACAGAAATCTGCATTATGTCACATACTTATATTTTTTGGTGGGAACACTTTTTTCAGCAATTATCAAGTACTCAAGATATTGTTATCAACTATAATCACCATGATGTAAAATAGAATTTATTCCTCCTATATAATTGAAATTTTGTGTCCTATAACCAACATCTTCCCAATTCCTCCTTTCCCCTTAAATTTATTTTAATCTATTCGTTCATTTTCATTTCTTCTATTTTTATAAAATAGTTTTGATTAACATATAATACTTGTAATTTTTACAGATTTTTTTAATCTATTTGAAAAGCATAATGACAGAAAGAGAGGAAGAGACAGAGAAAGGAGAGACATACAATATTCTATCTGGTGGTTCACTCCCCTAGTAGCTTCAATGGCTAGGGATGGAAAAGGTGGAAGCCAAGAGCCTGAGATTCCATCCAGGTCTGCCACATGGGTGGCAGGGACTCAAGTGTGTTTACCATCATCCACTGTTCCCCAGGCTCATTAGCAGAGAGCTGTATCAGAAAGGAAGCACATGGAACTTGAACTGGCACTCACATACGGAATGCTGGCATTCAAGAGTTAGCCTAATCTACTTCACCATAATGCTAGCCCCATAATTTCATCTTTTTCTTGCAAAACAAATCCTCTATTAATTTCTTGTCATATGAATACTATATTCAGCACTTCTGTTAGCATGGAAATATTTTAGTACAATACTCTTTCATATTTTATTTAATTTAAATATATGAAACAAACCCTAAATAAATTTCATTTGATGTAGAAACTTAAAAATTTTTATAGAGAACAATCTTTTTCTCTTTCAAAGCATTTTGGTGTTATTTCTCCATTTAAATGCAGCTTCAAAATGCGTAAGAGAATTGATAGCAAATCCCCTAGTTAGTTCTTAAAAAAAAGTTTTGCTAGTAATCTTTATTTTTTTTTTATTTCTTTATCTTTATTTATTTGAAAGAGACAGAAACAGAAACACACAGAGATCTTTCCTTCTGTGGTTCACTCCCCAAGTGCCTGCAACACCATCACAAGTGGCATCTCAACAGCTGGGCCAAATGCCCACCCCTGCTAGTAGTCTTTAGAGGCCTATTAGACTTAAGTGAACAGCGCCCATTCAAAAATCCAAAGATGGGAGCCTGTGCTATGGCACAACAGGTTAGGTCCCAGC